GCAGCGGCTGGACAACGTGGAGAATCTCCTGAAGAACAGGAACTTCTGGATCCTGCGGCTGCCCCCCGGCTCCCGGGGAGAGGTCCCCAAGGTAACGGCATCCAGCCTGGCTCCTGGAAGCATCGGTGCCGCCACCAAAATTCCCAAACGGCGGGGTGTAGGAAATGCCAGAGGGATCTTAGCAGTGGGCTCGGGTGGCTGAGCGTCCGCGAGGTCTGGATTTGTCGCTCACAAGCCCTGATCTGGCCCGGCACGCTTTGCTCTGTGCCTGCCCGGAGCGAAGCCAAGCGTTCACTTGCTCACGCCTGGTTTCCGTGTTATCCAACGCCATCAGGAATCACCAAGCGCGTGATACTTGTGATTCCAGGTACCCATCACGTTCGATGACATTTCAGTGTACTTCAACGAGCAGGAGTGGGAGAGGCTGGACCGCTGGCAGAAGGATCTGTACAGGGCTGTGATGAGGGGGAACTACGAGATGCTGATCTCCCTGGGTAAGGCACGGGGGCTGCGGCTCCGGCTGAGCCGCTGGGGCGGGTAGGGCTGGACTGGTTCCCACCGCAGCCCGACCGACGGCCTGGTTCGGTGGGGCTGGACGCCCGTAGCTAGCAGAACCTCTGCTGGGCAGTCACACCCACGTGTTTTCCCTCCTCCCTGCTTGTAAGCAATGTCTGTAAGAGATATCTGTAGTAAAGAATAGTAGCGATAATAATACGAACAAAATTATACGAAATATCCACGTGAGATGCTGTCCCGAATGACTGTGTAAGTGGATTCCAGAGTCGGGGAACCATCGTGGTTTTCCAGCACAGTTCAGGAATTATCTGGGTGAAGTCTGATAACTGTACCCTGAGCTAGTTCCCGTTTTCTGTCTGTTTAGCTCCTACGTGAAGTGACGGGGACACTTCCCACGTACCTTGCTAAAGAACTGACCTAATCACGCTCAGTCTTCTAAGGACACCCGACATGTTCTTGGGTGATTTGGGCTGTACCGTATTCCCCACCAAAAGCCGTTTCTCGGGCGTGACTCGTAACGCGCTGGGCTGTGCAGCCACTGACGTTGAGGCTCCTCTTTTCTCAATAATATTTTGTAGAAGCAGAACAAACCTGTGCCTCTCGTGGTCCCGTCTGGCACAGACACCTCTACAGAGCAGGAATTTTTCTGTCCCTGCTCTTCAAACCACTGCTAAAGCTGAAACGAGAGGAAAAGTGATTAAAGACAAACCTTTCTCTCCCCTTTAAGATTTTAGGTCACATTCCGTTATTTAGATATTCTCTGTACTTGAGCTACAGCTGTGCTCACGGCTGAGTCCCAACACAGGACCAAGAAACCAACATCGCCCTTTTTCCCTGTTTCGGTGTGAATAATGTATTTGTGTCCACCTGTACTGCCTGCTGGCTCGGGGGTTAGGGCGAGAAGGGTCACTCTGAGAGTGCGACAGAACGAAGGTGCAGCCGGTTGCTAATAAAACACGCTGTCCTCTGCCCCGTGAGCAGACTACGCCGTGTCCAAGCCTGACATCCTGTCCCGGATCGAGAAGGATGAAGATCTCTGTGTGCGAGATGGTCAGGAGCTCCTGCTGACGGGCGTCGGAGATGGTCAGGAGCCCGCGCCGGCACCAGAAGAGATGGAGCAGATGAAAGAGGCTTTGGGAGAAGACGAATTCCCCGAGGAAGCTGACGCAGGTAAGTTAGGCGGGTGCCAGGAGGGGGTGGCAGTTCCTGTCTCAGCTTTGTCAGGACATCTGTGTTGGCGTTAGGAATTGACCGCGCGGAGGGTTTGGTGTCTGTATCGGCTAAACCTCCACGGAGTACCTGGAATCTTTCTTCCAAGAGGAACAGTAATGCTTGCTCAGATGAATCCCGTGCGGAAAACCAGACAGAGCCTGTCAGGAGGAGGTGGGCTGGAGTCTGGAGCGGTGGGACACACCTCTTGCGATCCCTTCCAGTCCTGTTTCTGTGCAGTTCGGCAATCCTTCTTCACCTGATGGCATGCACGAGCCCTAGGGCTTCCAAAAACGCTGCCGCTTGCTTTGGTGAGAGAGGAGATGTGGTGGGAAGCGAGGAACCCGGGAAGCCGCAGTGGGAGGAGGAGGCTGGAGCAGCTCTGCTGGCGCTGGGGGGAGCAGAAGCGATCAGGAGAGCCTCGGGGCATGGCATGGGGGAGTTGGAAAAGTCACAGAATCACAGACTGGTCAGGGTTGGAAGGGACCTCTGGAGATCATCTAGTCCAACCCCCCCGCCAGAGCAGGGTCACC